TTTTTTTTAAAGTTTTTATTCTAAAAATATCAATAAAATTTTATTTGTTAGCTTAGAAAGCTTGTAAATGTATTATAAGGCTCCTAGTATATTGTTTAAAGGCAGATGAAAAATATTAAAAATAGTTAGTCACAATTTTCTTTTATAAGCATTTAAAGATCGAATTTTGACAAAATTTATCAAATTTAAAATTGAATAATTATTTTGTAGTTAAAAATGTATAAAATGTTCAACTTTTATATCTAAGGATTGAAAATTTAAAACATGATTTCACCATTGTAGTTAATTCTGTTACCAAAAAATCTAAAAAATACATTAGCACAGTTTATTTGTATAGTCATTTTAAGTTCAACTTTGGATAAAATTACATAAAAAAAACCTAGAATAACTATTTTAGTTATTTTTTTGTGATTGTGTAATATTATTCGTGGGTACTTGAAACTTCTAAAGTACACTATTATGTACCTATGGACAGGCACGTAGCCAGGGGGGGGCCTGGGTGGGCCGGGCCCACCCTAAATATACTCTGGCCCAAGGCTGGCCCTCCCAAATTCAAAATATAATTATTTTTACCAATTATCAAAAATGTGATTATGCACATTGAGAGAAATCTATTGTGATTACTATTAGGTAATACAATTATTATTGTAATAATTTAATTTTTATATTCGGGGAACCGTGGATAACTTTATCTGAAAAAAATACAATATAATAGGGTCTTGATACCCTTTTTAAAAACAATAATATATTAGCCGTAGTTATAAGTCTATGCTAAGTTAGCTTGCGAAAGAACTTTTTCATGTCTGAGACGACTGAAAACCTTTCTGAGGAATCGCATGACAAATAATCGTTTAAATAATTTAGCTTCAATGAGCATAAAAAAAAAATTCTAAAAACTTAGATCTAGATATTTTTGTACAATTGTTTTCGGAAAATCATAAAAACAGAAAAATTATTTTATATTGCACTGTTTAATATTTATATAAGTATAAGTGTATTATTAATATTTTCTACTAGTATGTGTTTTTTTTTTTTTTTTAATAAATTTGAGTTTCTTTAAAAATTATATTAATTTAAAAATCGATGATCATTTATCTCTATTATTTTTGATAAGTATTCAAATATGAATTAATTTTTGAAGTTAAACAATTGAAGCAGCTTATTATTTTAAATATGTATGTAGATTTATTTTTCATAGCATGAAAAATGTATCCCATAAGTGAAGATGTAGGTAATTCTATATTTATTTTTTTTTTTGTTATCAGGTACTTTCTATTTTTGTAATTCTTAAATAGGTAAGTATTAGGTATAACTTGTGAAAAAAATAATTTTAACCAATTACCAACTAAAGGTAAATTATTTAAATTAATAAGATTCTTTGTATTGCATACCCCTTACAAGAATTTCATAAAGAAAAATTTTGGAAAGTAATAAAAGGGCCAAACATTATTGGCCCCCCTAGTAGAAATTTTCTGGCTACGTGCCTACCTATGGAGTATGGACTATGATAGTATCAGGGTTTGTTGTTGACGTATAACGCATTATAAGTACCTAATGGATATTGGGATATGATTAATTTGGAATTTATTATAGGTAAATTTTTTTTAATACGATAGATAAGAAAATAATATGCCTTATACCTAGACTGACATACCGTCTCCGCTCAGAATTATTTTTCTTATACAATGATATTATATCATTGAATTCAAATTTAATACTATCCATTATACAGTGACCCACTTGTAACCTACTGTACAGCGGAGCACCTTTTTTTTGTTTTATATACCTAGTACACAAGTATAGATTTCTAATTTGGTTTTAATAAGTGGCCCCTTGAAATTTCCTGACCCACAGTTTCCTAACTCTGGATCCGCCCCTGGCAGGCGGGTGGGTGGTGTGTGATCCTATTTTGTCACGGTAATTTTGTATGCAGGAGAAACTAAGCGATAATTTGTTATGCGAACCTGGTGGTCTAACAGGTGTTATTATTATTCGGCATTCGCCTTATCATGACAATAGTTGGTTAACACTATTCAAAATATTGTAAAAAATATAATATAATATAATAAATAATAATTCAGTGAAACCTCTATTAAAATTAAAGGGTACTTCTCAATAGTGGACACTTTTAAATTCCCCTGTAAAAATGTATGCATATAATAGGAGTTATAACCTCTTAGTAATGGACATTCCCAGGCCATAAACTAGGCCTCAGAGAAATTGCGGGGTTGTACCCCCCTCACAGAAAACAGTTCAGCCCCTTGGACAGCCCCCCCCCCACTGACAAATATGTATGATATAAGTCATAAAACATTATTTTTAAATGAGCAACATTAAAGAATTTATGATATATACTTGTTTTAAATTTTTAATTTATGGAAATACTTTTGTATTTTCGAAGATCCGTGTTTTAAGTTTTTACCGTTATAAAAACTGATATAATAAAGATAATAATTGATATAAATTAATATTTTATACGGGCGTGCGACGCGGAGTATCAATGTGTCAACATGCAACGCCTGACATACAGTCTATCCCTACTGATATTGGTGCAAAATTTATCAGGGGTGAACGAAAGACGAAAATAATTAATAAAACAAAGACGAAAAACAACTGGAAAACGATAACAAAAAATCCCAAAAACAGAAAAAAATTTATAACAAAAATAAATTATAGTATTAACCTAGGTACATAAAAAAAATATTTTTCACTTAAGTTTACCAACACCCTTTTAAAATTTAAAAACATTTTAGTTTGAAATCTGAAATTTTCAATTTTTTATATAAATTATAACTTTGATTTAAAATATATTTATTACGAATAAATAATTTTAATTTGAACATTTCTGTTACAACATAAAAGCTTAAAGTTATGTAAACTCCCCCAGATTTTTGGCGCTGTCTGGAGAAGTTTGCATAAAGCCAAGGGCGAAGGGCGTCTTCAGGTCAATTCCATGGGAGGGGCGAAAACATTTTAGTCTTGAATATCGCATTGCTAAACAAAAACTTAACATCTGTATGTTTAAATAATCTATATGTTTGTTGTTTGTATCCATGGTCTGTATAATCAGTGTACAAATAATAACTAATTTTATAAAATGTTTTTATATATTAGCAAAAACAGAACATCTCACGTCTTATGGAGGGGGCGGTCGCCCCCTTCGCTCCCCCTGCATTAAGCAGCAGTATTCGCGTAGCGAGTAAAGCGAGTGCTTTCGCGAGGTCAAGCCGGCGCTTGAACGTTTAAAATGTGATCAACAAAGCCGTTTATATTGTTATTTTAAATCAGTTGTTTGTTGTTTATATTAATCGTTGCTCCTATCTGACAGGAGAAGTTAACAGTTTTAAGTTATAAGAATATATTATATATAAAAAAAAAAACAAAATGATCTAAAATGATCTAAAATGTTATTTAATTAAACTTTTTTAAAAACGTTAATCAAAAACGATTTTTTTTAAATCAATAAACAAAATTAAAAAATTTAAAAATTTTTCCATCCCTGAATTTTATACATGTTTGTTTACTTTTTTAATATTATAAGATTTGCAATCATTTACTGTATGGTGCATAAACAGATATTGTGTAAAATATCAATATTTAGCTCATTTAATATATTTGTCAGTTTGTCACTAATAAAAAAAATTGAGGAATAAATCGAATTTATTATTAATTTTTTAATAAGCAAAAGATTTACTACAATTTCAATGAAATATGTTTTGATATTTGTAAAATAATTAAAATAATTAATTTATTATTACCTTTATTGAATACTAATTACTGGATGAAAATAAACAAATAAAGGTATCCCAAATCATTGAATTAAAGATGATTCAAAAAAATTTATCTGTAAATTACGCAATTACTCTATAGTTTATATCTATGAAATGTAGGTAAGTAAAAGAAACATAATTATTTATTCACAAAGGTATGTGATATTAAAGTCATACAGAAATTATAATTATTTACATCATTATTCATTATGAATATAGTTTTTGAAGGTCTGTGATTAAACATTTTCTTACATAAGGTACATAAAAAATATTTGACATTATTCTTAAAACTATTCAAAAGTTTGTACATGTTATCTGTTTGGACTTTAAGAGCACACAATATAAAAACTTGAGTACTATTAAAGTATAATAGCTATATTGTTATATGATAGGAAAATATTTATACTTTATTTAAATTACCTCAGTATTTGATGAAAAAACCTTAACCCATGTAAAAAAAAAATTTGCCCCACTCTGCTCACTCTAATAAAAATTCTAGTGCCGTGCCTGGTGGACGTGGACACTAAAAACTGGTACTGAAATACAATATTATATATTTATATTGCAAATCACAATAATTTGTGACATAAATTATGTTTATATTATATGTTCTACGTATAATATCTAAAGTATATAAACATTTAATTTGTATTTTGTATTTTTATTGTAATAGTACAATAATATGGATGATATCATAGAGTAAATTGTTAATTGTAAATTGTTTGTACATCATAAAATACTCATAACTGGCTTCAAATTTAAAATTTAATAAAGTGAGTGAGGCGTCCTCTTAACAGTAACTATATTTTGGGGTATAAATATATTATATATTATATTAAAGTACCTGCATACATGATACAAAAAAGCATAGCCACGATTTGACAATTAAATCTAGATATAATATTTTATTTATTTTTAAAATTTTCCTGGCATAAAATCATCCAAACTTAGGTGTAACAGAGACTTGACGAAAAAGAAAAATGATGCTACTTATACATATGACAAAAATTAAATTTTTACAGTTTCTACAACTATTACACTTAACTTCACTTATTTTCTCAGAGACACCTTCCAAATCATCCTAATCATTTTCAAGTTCCCAATTCAATATTTCATATTCATCTGCAATTTTTAAAAATTCCCAGTTATTTGAAAAACTTATTAACTCTTCATGAATTTGATTGTAAACTTCATCTTCAGTTTTAAAGTTGGTAAATTTTAATATTTTTTTTACAAAGTTTTAAAAGCTTGATGTGGTAATTTTTTCTTGTATGCTAAAAATTGTATAGGTGACAAAAGGGCCAAGTCTGTCAACAATTCACTATTATTAGAAAACCTTGATGTCATACTTTCAATTACTGTATCCATTACATAATTATGTACTTCAACTGTAAATTTTTTTTCAGCATCTTTTATGGGATCACCATAGAAATTCTCATCAGGCATTTTTTTTTTTACCTAAAACGTGTTACTTCAAATTTTTCTTGAATACACAGCATATTTTCTTCATCGTCCATAATTTGATCTATTTTATTATTTGCCCACTCAATAAATTCATTACTTGTTTTTTTATGTCTTCCATTCCACGCCTAAATGTTTCTAATTGTTTTATTGCTGCCTTTACTAACTGTTGGAATTTGAGTAAATCTATGCCACTAGTTTGAAGATATTTTGACAGTGGGCCAGTTATACTAAAAATTTTAGAAAAAATATGTGCTGTCAAGATGGTATCATACTTTAACAGCGAATTTAATAAATTCTTTGCCTTTAATCGGACATCCGGATTGAATTTTTGGTTATTAATTATTTTAGAAAATGCTACAATGAGGCATGGATACATTGAATCTGTTTGATTTTTATATTTACCAAAAATGTGTTCAAGAGCGGTTTGTTTTGACCACCATCGTGTTTCACCAATTAATTGTAATTTTTTTTTGATGGGATTTTTTTATTGCAATATAGTTTACAAATATGAAATATTATAATATACAATAGTATAAAGAAATTAAAAATAATGTAATTCAGCCGTCAGGCCAATAACAAATCCCAATAGGTCAGGCCACCGGGAACCTCCCGGTATCCCGGTGGGCCAGGCCGTCCCTGGCCACTTTAGAGTGCGTGTTTTATGACAGGCATTCAGCCCGAAATGTTGTGAACCACTTCACGCTTGCTTTTTACAATTGACTGACTTCAATTAAATTGCCTTCAAGTAAGTTAAAAGTTAACAAAAAAAAAAGGTATCTAGATAAGTTTAAAAATGATAGAAAATAAAATTAACTTATCTCAGTTAAAAAAAGTTAATTTTTTTTCAAGATACAATATTTTTAAGTATTTACTAACATTTACACAACATTTACCAAGACGTTTAACACTGTGTAAAAAATTAGATTATTATAATATATAATTCGAAAATAAATTATCAAAATCGAAAAAGAATTGACAAATAAGTATTGTCTAGTTGATTACCTACGCATGACTTGAAAAGAAAATTAACTAAACTGCACGGCAATGATAACTAACTATAAAAAGTTAAGTTACAACAATAAACATTTTAACTGAATATATAAGTAAATAAGTTTAAAAAAAAAAAAACTTTTTAACAAGTTAATACCCACCTTTTGTTATGACGTATCTTTGTACATAATACTAGATTGTATTATTAGTATTCTTTACAACACACCAAGGCACCAATCATGATGCAACGTTTACAAACAACATTGAAAAAAGCCTCCTTAAATCCTAGGCATTTTAAGTACTTTATACTACTTGAATTCAGGAGTCAGGACACTTACTATTGTCATCAACACATATATTATTATAATTTAATTATACCTATCACCAGAATATTATCCTGAAAATGAAATTATTTAAGTGTATTTACTTATATATAGTGTGTCTCCCGAAACCACACAAGTTGGATGCGTATTACCTGCACAAGATATACGGGACGTTAATGCTGGTATTCATCATGACTGTATTCGCCGGATACTCAGGTCGGCTAAAACGACTGATTTGCGCAGTATTCTTCCGAAAGAGAGAAAAGCGCCGCGTGCTGTACCTGTACAACGAGACATTAAGGAAGCGAATGGCGTTCTTCCGGTACATGAAGCAAAAGGTGTCGAAATTGGCCCGCGAAAACAAATTATCGGTTGGTATCTATTTCCCGCGTACTGTAGAAAAAAATCCGTGTTGACTAGACAACAGTTATCTACTGCAGACCCAATTCAACGGACAACTTCAGGGGAAATTGGTTTTCAATGCATAAACGATTTTCAGAGCATTATAAGTTTTTTTATAAGTTTTTCATAAGTTTTAACTGAATCACTCGATAATGTTTGACAATTTCGTTAGATTTTGGGGTGGTGAAAGATGAGTCGAGATCCAAACATAAGTCATAACCATCGAATTGCGTCATCTTCGTAGTTGGACGTCATTCATTATGCCCGTTATCTTTCATGTCCATTACTTTTTATTATTCAGGAAGATCTCGACATTTTTCTGATGTTGAGATTAAAGTTCCCGGCAGTATTTGGCTGGCTGGTGTGGTTTGCATGCGGTCGTCGAAAATGTCTGATTTGTGGCGAACCAGAAACTATTTCCGGCAAACAGTATGGTTGCAACACCATTGGGTGCGTTTATATACACTGCGAACAGTGTTGGAAAGATGTTGGTGTCTGTTATGCCTGTTCAGACACATTCACCAAAGAAGACAATGAACACAATTTAGATGTGGATACTGCAACTGCTAAGGGTTATGTGGACACTGATTATTAGGAATATAAATTTAATATTACATTTCATTAAAATCACATTGTTGATTTTATTATTATACAAATGATAATAAATTATGCTAATAAAAATTAAATTAAATTAGATTAAGTGTTCAAACAAGTTTAAATTATTAAATTATAATTTATAATATTCATATTAATAGAAATCTGATATCATTAACTTTTTATAGATAAATTTACTATTTTGTACTATGTAATTTACTATGTAGTTTATACGCTATAGTGATACTCCTGTACTACAATCACTATAAGAACCAGACAAAATGACAGCTTTCCTATAACAGTGATGATGATATTATAAAATATATTTAGAAATCTTTAAAAGTAAATCATTAATAGAAGTTTCACTGTTTACTCTATGTAATAAACTACTTTATAAAACCAAACAAAATTCTTAAATCCATATAAAAATTTTTAAGTGGCCTATTTTTTTATATATATATCTGTATATATATTTCATTCATCAATAACTATAACTTCTTTACTTAAAGCTGACCTAAAATACAAAATTAAACAAGAATTAAACTTCAAGAGTTGCAAAATAATAATATGTAATATTTATAATACTAACCAAAGTTCACTGTCAAGACCGCGTTTTTCTTCCATCAAAGTACTAAATAAATCCTTTTGCAATTTACAAATTGCTGTACAACAAATCCCATTTATAAGTCTCTTGTTGCCATACTCTTGTTCAAAACGCATGTAATCAATCCACACTCCTAAAAATTAAAATATTATTATGTATATCAGTGTCATGCTTTTTTTAATATATACAATCATACAATCTAAACATGTGTAGCACAATGAGCATAAAGGATATTACACATTAACGATTTTTAATATTTTTCATCTGCCTTTGAAACAATATACTAGGAGCCTTCTATTAAATTTTCGAGTTTTTTTAACCAACAAATAACATTTTATTGATATTTCTAGAAAAAAACTAAAAAAAAATGAAAAATGAAAATGTCCCTAAACAGTTCAAAATAAATCAAAATATTTTTAAAATGTTATCGTGTATAGAAAATGCAAGAAAAACAACCAGTGAAAATTTCATGTATCTACGGTCATTTGTTTTAAAGTTACACCAAAAACCAAATTCAATTTTCTGAAAAATCGAATTTGGGTAAAAATTCCCGTTTTTCCTTAATTTTTCTTTTGTTTTTCTTGGCGCTTATGAAAAGTACTGGGAATTTTAAAATTTGACCTCCCCAATGCACCAACAATATTCACTTTCCAATCGAACAAGATACTGAAGTCGAAAATCGAAGCATTATTTTGACTACTTATCGTGTACACAGATACAAAAATAAAAAAATATAAAAACACATCATTGTAAAATCAATACATTCATCATTCCACTCAGAATCTAAAATTAGAGCATTGATTCCTGTAGGCTGTAGGACATAAAAGCATTTTATTTAAAGCATTTTTTGAGTTATTTTTGGGCATTAAAATCCCAGGTGTAATTATTGTGTAATTTTCAAAAATAATAATTATTAACTATATTATAACAGTTTTAGTTTATTCTGTGTTTATACCATAGATATATGTTGTTTTATATATCTATGGTTTATACTAACATAGAAGGTATACTTGGAGGGTTAAGAAAGATACGTTTTAGGCGGTTAAAAATTATATCAGAAGACGTAAGTTGTAAGTTTTTATCAGTTACATCTTTTAACTGTCATAATATAAAACTATTGTCCATTCATTTTTATTTTTAAATCTTAAAATATTTTATAGAAAAGTGCTCACAAGAATATTATAATAGTTATTTAAAAACAAGGTTCTTGGGAGGGGTTATATCCCTATATCCTCCCCATAATTTTACCACTGTATTATACACATCCTAAATCTAGTTATGAATGGTGATTTTTGTTTGGATCACTTGTATGTTTTGTATGTTATTTTATTTTTTCATTTTTGAGAAACTAAAGTACACCATTTAATGAATTTTAATCTAGAAATGTATTGATTAGTCCTTACCAATATTATCGTGGCCACACAATTTGGTTACTTCTTGATACAATTTTCTTACTGTATCTAATTCATAATTTGGTTCATCACGTTCAATGGCTATCATTACTAAATACAATTTACGACATGCTGGCTTTAACTCTTTTAGTTCATTAAATAGGTGTCGAGCAGCATTTATGTCTTTACACCCTATGCACCATTCTAAATATTTAGGTCTGATTTCCAAAGAAAGTCTTTCGTTGTAAAAATCTTTTGTACCTTTTGTAGCTTGTTCATATAACTTTGAAACCTATAATAATATTAACTTTTATAATAAGTACATATAATATTGCATTTATATTTTATTGTGTTTTTATTTTTTTATTGATCATATTAATTATACTTAAATTCATAATAAGTAATAATATAATGATATTTTCATTATCTGATTAGTGTCGGGTTGCATGATCAATCACTAAGCATTTAACGAATCAATAGTGAGCTATTTGTTCCCTAAACATAATTTAGTGGCTTATGATTGGTTCATTAAATTATTATATTGTACCATTAAATTAATACATTTTTCATGCAACCTGACATAAGTGAATTGACTGAAATTTTTAAAAAATAAGAAGTAGAAAGTTGTTTTACAACACAATATAACCAAAAACAAATAAAAAATAAATATATAATGTAATTTAAACATTAAATATACTCCATTCAGGATAAGAATGGTACCAGGTGGAGACTGCTTTTCGCGCGGCAGCTGTCAGATGCTTCTCCTACCAAGTCAACCACCAGGTTCAGCATTTGGGACGAAACCACGCACATGCTCACAAGTCGACCACCAGGTACCTCTCTTATCCTGAATATAGTATAGACATCGTTTTTATTAAATAAATTTTAAAATAATTAAATAGCAGTGGCTGTGATCCACTATCAGTTATAACTTATATTATATTATGAATATTACTTACTATTTCTGGAAGCTTATATTGCACATGTCTAATTAAAGTCTTCCATAAAGGTAATGCATCATCTAATGCACGAACACCTTGGTCAAAAGCACACAGCAGCGCATCAGGTTCTAAGCTTTTTAAATTCAAATAGAGCTTTATTAGTCTTATCCAAATATTTTGATTAGATGGTGTATGTTTCATAACAACTTCCATTAAAATATTTAACTGTTTTGCATTTAAGCAGCTTACCTAAAAAAAAAAAATTAATTGATATAACTTATTGGTTTTTATTATTATTATTAGTATACATATTAACCCATTTAGTAATAAAAAAAAACATTTTGTGAATCTTGTACAATGTTAAATAAATTATTTTATTTTATTTTCACTAGAAAATAATGTACTCATTGAAATTTAAACAGAATTTAAAGAAACTATCTTTTATGTGTGTTATAGTAATACAGTATTTAGTAAATTAATTAATGTGTAAAATGTATCAAAACTAAAATTATTTTTAAGACACATCTATGTAAAATAGCACATATAGTAGAATATTTTAAATTAAAATACTTAAAAACTTCCTATTATAATTTTGGCATTATGTTATAAATTAATATTATAATAGTATTATATTTGGTACTTTTCGTTTATCCCTACTACCGTGAGTCTCAATTCTGTTATCTCGACCACCTCGCCGACGCCAATTTAGATGAAATCCTTCATAAATCATAAACATGGACATAATTAATATAAAAATACCTCACCGATAGAGTCCATACTTTAATCGTACATACCTGACCTTTTTTATCATAATTACTTTTTATGAGCGTTTGAATATATAATTTTTACAATATTGTATATTATTTAGTAGTAATTTATCAAATTTAACAAGACCTTAAGCCACTAAGCACTAAACCACCACCCCCCCCCCTCACCTCCTACATAAGTTATGGGGTATTTACCCCAGTAGCCATACGTGTTCAGCGCCTCTTGCTAGGCATAGTCTATAACGCACCGTCTCCGCTCAGAATAGTTTTTCATATCCAATGACTTATCATTGAATTCAAATATAACACATCCGCATTACAATGACATACTCTACAACTACTGTACACCAGAGCGGTACCCACTTGTCCACCTTTTATTTTTATAATTATATTTATTTAATATCTTGATGATTTTATGAGAATTTTTAATTTGACGTTTTGTGATAATTTTGATGATTTGATGTTATATATTATGATGATAACTCTCCACTACTGTGATAATTTATGTGATAACTGATAATAATTGATAAACGTTATACTAATATTATACATTATTATATATATTTTTTTTTTTTTTTGAATTCACATTATTATAAAAGGCAATTCATGTGTATTATGTATTAAGAATACGGAACTATCGGGATAGTAAGTACTATAGTAGTCAAGTTAATAGAATTGAGTAGTCGTGGTAGTCGCCGCATCAAGCGGTAGTAGGGATAACAGAAAAGTACCTTATATTTAAATAAAAGCTACTTGAATAACTTCATGTTAATAAAGAGAAATTAGATTTATTTTTATTATGTGGTAAAGCATTGTGATAAATATTTTTTTATTTTAAACCTAGTATTTTTTTATTAATTTTAATAATCCTTTAATTAGGGCACTATCTTAAGCAATAAGCATACTAGCATTTTTCTCAAATTATCACTATAGGTTTGGTATAGTATTAAATATGTTAAATTATACAAAACATACATAATTCAAGAAAATATTTATTATAACTGTATACAATTATTAACTATTTTAAGTGAATAACTAAGTCCCTTGACCTAAATTTGTTATTTAAGTCATTACAGTTTAAAAACCCAATTATAGAAAGTAACAAAGAGATTAATAAAATAACTAAAAATAAAAATAATAAAAAATACTTTAAATGTTACCCACATTATCTTCACAAACGTTGATAAATGTAGTTAACAGATCCTGGCCAATGTTGAAATAAAAGTGTATGTTGTGAAATATGATAATAATGTTATCGCACAAAAAGACGAGTGCTTGATTGGCGACAACCTCATTAGTATTGCCCAACCCCTATTAAATAATAAAAATGTTAGTATTGTACACCATATTCAAAACATTGTTATGGTTGTAAATATAAAAATTACTTTGATTTTTCTTTTACACAACTTGAGCAAACTCAACTCTATTTTAAAATGCAACAGCAACTCACGCTTAGTGATAACTTTATCGGAGATTTTTTTATTGATTGATGAACGTTCTCTATTCAGCATCCTAAACAAAACAAAAAGGTAAGTTTAGGTTTGCACAAAATACACCAGTGTATACTTACATGTACTCGTCCCATTGCATAATGCTATATTTCTGCAAAAATTCAGAATCCATTTTGTTAGGATAACTAGCTGTTACAACGGTTTATTCTTGTACAAATGATAAAATTAAAATTATTAAAGTAACAAAAGCTAACTAGCTTTTATGTATTAGTTTATACATATTATTATATAGTAACTAAATTGTTAGTCTTAAATCTTCTAGTCTCTTGTACTCCACAGTCTACAACTCTACTACTCTACAAGCTAATAGCTACAGTTCTGCCTACCCTTTGATTGTTTTCTCTCTCTCTTGTTTACTCTCTCTAAACAAAAACATAATATGCATTTGTTCCATGAGTATTTCCTTCCGTATCGTCCATGATATCATCAAACTAATGGACAGCGCTTGGAGAGAAAAGTCAGTAGAGAGAAAAGAAACAAAGTAGTGAAATTGTATACAGTTCCTTGTGCCGTCTCATTTACTACTCTGTTCTTTCTCTCTCAGTTGTTATGATATGGTTATATCCTAATCTACCATTGTTGGCGGGTGGAGTAGAATGCGCTCAAGGTTTATAGGTCTATGCCCCCAACTCGTTCATGGAATAACACATAATTGGACGGCGCGCGGGTAAAAGGGAAAAAGTCGAAAAACGATGGTGTTCAGGAAACATCAAAAAAAATCTCATTTCTTAAATAATTTTTTTTTTTTTAATTATTATTCTTCGGAATTGTTGCCTAATGATTTACTGTACCATTGTGTAACAAGATATTTTGAAAATGTAGTTCATTGCAGTACTTAAGTGACTTGTTGCTTTTTACACATCATGATACCATGGGCGGATAGGCCTACCGGGAAACCGGGAATTTCCCGGTGGGCCCCCCTTCGTATTTCGGTAATGGGCCCCTTTAATAAAATAAAATTACCTACAATAGAAATAATTTGAAATATCAAATAAAATATTATAATCTTATATCAGTTATATCTCATATACATTACTATCTAGTATCTGTGGTCTTTTTCAAAACATTTCTTATCGGCTCGAAGCCGCCGCGCTCTCACAACTACAACGTCGGTTAATGGTTGAATTGAGTGGGTCACGGTTGAAACTGGTAACTGGTGAGGTGGGTAATCACTCACAAATCGGTTGTTGTAGATACTATTTTTAGAATAATCTAAACTAAACATTGGACTTCAATGCTATCGTGTATTTGTGTGCGGTAATATAATGTAATATTTACTATTTTACCGATATCTTATCACAAACAAATTGTAGAATTATAATAAATTATTATACACTTATTGCACTATTGCAGACATAACGTTTCTACTAACTCGCGGTTAATCGTTAGCAGCGTTGCCAGACGTACGGTTTGGACCGTACTCATACGGTAAATTTGGTCGGTGTACGGTGTACGGTAATACATTGAAAACCGTACAGAAATGTACGGTATTTACAGCTGCTTGCTAGTTGCTACCTGGATTTTTTTTTATGAATAGTGATAAAAATATAATATGATAAACTGATATTGTGATTTTATTTTGATAAAATAAATAATAGTAAATAATAATAATTCTTAAAATTAAAATTAACTGTTGGGGTTATTCCCATTATCCATTGAATATTTGAATTAGACCGTCTTTGTCAATTATTGTCATGGGTTTTTCGATTTTTCGACATGTTGACGCTGTCTTGCAGCTGATAACAGTTTCGCCGTCAATCTTTATTTCATTTTCATCGACTCAATGTGCCAGTTTTGCCTACTGCAGCTGTCTTATTGAAATTAAAGAAGCTATGTCTGACATCGAGGATACTCCACAGGTTTGTTAATTTTTAATAAAAGTCGAATCGATTAGTTGAAGTACATTGAATAAATAATATTAATTTTATATCAAAAAATAATATTTATCTGATGATCAGGGCCCTTCCACTCCAAAAAAAAAGAGGGCAATAAGAAATGAACTCAGTAACGATGAGAAACCAAAGCATAGAAAGCAAAGATACCGTTGTGAGTGGGAGAGTGATAAGTTGTTCAAAGGTTGGCTTAAACCTGAGAAAAATAATCCTTTCAAAGCCAAATGCATCAAATGTCAAGTAAGTTTTATATCTGAATTAAGTTCTATAAAGAAACATGCTACAAGTAAAGCTCACGAATACGCGGTAAAAGCCACAAAAAATTCTCAAAATATTTTTTCTACATTTATATCAAATGCGCAGGATCCAATTGCTGACAAAGTAAAAACTGCAGAAATAAAACTGTGTGGTTTATTAGCAGAGCATAATTGTGCTTTTTTACTTGTGGACCACTTAGTTCCTTTATTAAAGGAAATATTTCCAGACTCGGCCATATGTCAAAAAATGAAACTAAAACGTACAAAAGCGACTAATATTATAAAAAATGTAATAGCCCCTGCAGAAAAACAAATATTATGTGATAAATTAAATATTTCTAAATTTTCAATAATGGTAGATGAGTCTACAGATATAGCATGCCAATCAACTATGTGTGTTGTAGTACGATTTTATGATTATGAAAGTAAAATAGTTGTTTCACGTTTCTGGGAATTATTACAAGTATTTGATATAAAGAATTTGGATACTGTAGACAAAGGTGCAACTGCTGAAAATCTTTTTAACATTTGCATTGAATCGTTCAAAAAATATAATATAAATCTAGATAACCTGGTTGGTTTTGGATCAGATGGCTGTTCCACTATGATGGGTAGTCAAAACTCTATGTCAAGTAGAATGCAGTTATATTTTCCTGGCATTTTTATTATAAAGTGCATCTGTCATTCAATTCATCTATGCTGCAGTGAAGCATGTAAGAGCCTACCTAGAAGGTGTGAAGACTTGGCCCGTAATATTTACAACTTTTTTAGCCATAGCTCTAAGCGCCAAAGTCAGTTTGTGCAATTTCAACAATTTTTAAACTTAAATGTTCACAAAATACTGCATCCATCCCAAACAAGATGGCTATCACTTTCATCTGTTGTGCAAAGAATTGTTGAACAGTGGGATGCTTTAAAATTATATTTCACTGATAAATGGCTCTCTGAAAAATTAATTTCTGCAGAAAATATTTATTTACAACTAAACGATCCTTTTACTAAGGCTTATTTTTACTTTTTAGAGTGGGTTCTTCCAAAATTCACTTCTTTGAATCAATTTTTCCAAACAGAAAATGTTGTATTGACAACATTAAATGAAAAAATGGAACTTGTTTTTAAAGAAATATTACTCTGTTATATGAAAAGAGATTATGTTATGAAAACTGATTTAAAAAAAATAAATCCCAGTGATGAAAATCAATTTTTAAAAGCATCAACTGTATATCTAGGTGTAAAAGTTTTAAATCATGTTAAAACCGATTCAATTACAAAAAGACCAGATTTACTGAATGAATTTTATAACAGATGTACTGACTTTTTAAAAATAAGTTGCGTACAAATTAAAAAAAGGTATGACTTTTCAAATCCTATTTTACCATTATTAAATGTTTTAAATCCGTCAGTTGCTTTATCAATTAGTAAGAGAGACATATATCCTTCAATATATAATCTCATGCAACATCTTCCTAGGATGTTAAATATAGAAGATAATATTATTATACAAAAAATTGATGATCAATGGCGTAATTTACCATTATATAAATTAAGTGAAAATATAATAAATGAAAAAGAACCTGATAGATTTTGGACTTACATAAAAGACTTGGAATGTGAGCAATTTAAAGATCTTGCAGTATTTTCCATATCGGTCCTATGCCTTCCACATTCAAATGCATCATGTGAAAGGATATTTAGCAAAATAAATTCAGTAAAAACAAAATCCAGAAACAAATTAATAACTAGCACGGTATCATCAACAGTAATTTCAAGCGAATCCATAAAGAAAGATAATGGAAATTGCATTAGTTTCAAACCTATCAAAGATATGCTTGCAAGAATGACATCATCCAATCTATACCCGATTGCAGCAGATATGACTCAAAATACTAGTTGCCAAGATTTTGTTATTGAAGACTAATTTATATTATATATTTTATTCTGTATATGATCTATTCAATTATATTTGCATTTTTTTTTTACACCTAATCAGGTGAATGTTTATTTTATATTATACACTTTGTTGAATTTATTAACTATTTAATGATATTATTTACATTTTGTTTTATATACCTAGTCGGTTAACATTTGTTTAATTTTATATATTTTGTTGTGCATATAAACTATTTAATTATATTTGCATTTTGTTTTACACCTAATCAGGTGAATGTTTATTTTATATTATACACTTTGTTGAATTTATTAACTATTTAATGATATTATTTACATTTTGTTTTATATACCTAGTCGGTTAACATTTGTTTAATTTTATATATTTTGTTGTGCATATAAACTATTTAATTATATTTGCATTTTGTTTTACAAATAATCAGGTGAATGTTTATTTTATATAATACACTTTGTTGAATTTATTAACTATCTAAAGATATTATTTACATTTTGTTTTATACACCTAGTCGGTTGACGTTTGATTAATTTTATATAAGTATATTGTGTTGGTATCAAATATTAAAATTATCTTTGATTCTTTGAGTTGTTGTTGTTAATATTTATTTAAATTAAAAACATTTGAAATGTTTAAAGAGTTCAGGAATATAATTCGTATAATTAGAGTAATTAGTAATAAAAAAAAAAATAAAAGGCTCCTCAGATGTTGATTTTTATAATCAATAATATATATTCGCGATTTGCGACTTGCGAGGATCGAGCGAAGCGAGGTCCGAGTAATGAATACAATTTTTATGTACGGTAAATTTATAAGAAATACGGTAATACTGGGTTCACTGTACGGTTTAATCATTATCAAATTCTGGCAACACTGATCGTTAGTCATTTTTCTTGATAGTTTAAGTTATATAGTTGATCAGTATTCAGTGTTATATATTATATTCCTTAGTTCTTACACATTGCATAGTACATACAGACATACAGTTAAAACAGACGTTTACGTGCTGTTTTATTTTTTTCAATGGGCGATTCCAAAAAATTACATAAAAGCGGAAGTTCTAAACTAAAAAAAAAGGAGAAAGAGTTGCTTAGAAAGGAAGGTCAAAACCCTAATCAAAAAAAATTAAATTTTGTAAAATCAAGTAAGTACTCACATTGGTTATATTATATATTATATTGTATATTAACTAAAATTACACTATATTTTATATAGATATCTTAATATCATTAGGTATTACATCTGATAGGTAGCAATTAGCAGTATAAAATAAGTAGGGTTTGTCAAATAAATATAGGTACTTAAAATATTTAAGACACAATTTGTGTTCTGAATGTGTCTATTATATTTATAATTTTTAACATTATTTGAAGTATAAAAACTTAACTTAAACACTTGTATAATTAGATGTACTTAATTGATAATTGATGTTGTTATAATATATTTATATTATAGATATATTATGCATTTTTTATATGCTAATATAACAGACAATTTTTCAAATCATACTAAGCTAGAAGGTAAATTGATGCATTAATTGTATTGTATTTAATTTTGGAATAATGTTAAGACTTCAGAATTAGTTTAATTAAAAAACAAAATTATAATAATATAAAACATTAGATATATTATGTTTTAACTGAGTAATTTTATAAATATACTTTCCACTTTTCATCTTTAGGTGACAATAATTTGAAAAAATGTAGCAGTAGTGTAATTGAAAATGAAAGAGAAAATCTGAATAGTGATAATGGTAATTTCTAGTTATTTTTCTATACTTATTTATCTAAACTATTTTAAAAATGAAAACTTCCCTTTCTAGATGTCAATTCTTCAAAACAAGATATTAAAGATATTGAAAATGTTGATGCCATGGCAATAGTTGAAACCGAGTTTGAAACCTGTTCAAATATTGATAATGGTACCTATATAATATTATATACCTAATTTTTAATTATATAAATCTAATTTCCAATTATCATCTGTAGATGATCCTATTACAGATCCATTACAGGCATTTGAAATCAATGTTTATAACCAAGTATTTGATACTGTTATTGAAAGTATTTCATCAAGATTTGAAAAACATGAACAACTATGTGCCGATTTTTCTTGTCTTGACCCAAACAATTTTCAACCAGATTTACCACTTCCAACAAATGCTTTAATAAAAATATATGAAAAAATGAGAAATTTTATTCCGGACATAACTTACGATGATCTTAGAAATGAATATGTTGACTTTACATCTAAATGGAGAGAATTGAAAAAAACCATTGCTTGTGTGTATGATGAACTAAATAATCAAGTTACTGATGATGGTGATGATTCAGAAAATGGTAATCTATATTTATTATTACATAAATATTAAAAAATAAAATCATCAATAATTATGTTATATTTTATTTTATGTTTTGTTCTAGGACTCAAGAGTGATGATGATATTATAGTATGTGTGCATAGTGCCAGTACCAAGTATTGTGTAACCTGATGTTATGAAGTGTTGGTGAAATATAATTTATACGCAAATACATATCGTGGCCTCCACTTTGCATATAAATTTATGCTTACTTTATCCATTACACAAGTAGAATGTGAACGTACATTTTCGAAATTAAAATTTGTAAAAAATTATTTAAGAAATACAATAGGTCAGAATGTATTAGAGAGTATGTTGCTAATGGATGTAGAGAAAGATATTCTCAAAAAAATTGATTCCGAAGACATCATAAATAAATTAGGAGCTAGGAGCCCAGTATTTGGTAGAATGTTACTATTTTAAAATGAAAAACTAAATTTGATTAAATAGTAAAAAATTGTTTTGTTACACATTGTTGGTTATGTGTTATGCTTTATTTTGATGTGGTACTGAATAAAATTCATATAGTAATGTACTTGCGAGCAAAGCGAGTGACTTTTTTTTTCATGTGTGGGGCCCCTTTGTAAAATTTCCCGGTAGGCCAAAATTGGCCTATCCGCCCATGCATGATACTGACTTATACCTTTTTACCCATGACTTATTACTTTCTACACCTCGTGATGCTGACCTTTCTACTATAATGACTTATTCTCTATCAATTTATAATTTAATCATATTATTATTTGAATTATTACCTTTTGAGCATAATATTATTTTAGTAAATATGGTTTGATTTGAAGTAAAATGATAAAAATTTTATCCATAATGTACCAAATTCGCCAAATCTTAATGTACCTACTACCTACCTATCTGGTATTTATTAAGCAACAAAAACGTAACAATTTACAGTTGTAACATTTTGTATAGAATAACAAAATAATATTAAAACTGTTTTCAATTGACCTAACTTCAATCTAAAATTGGTGAAAATTAAAAAATTAAATAAACTTAGTTATAACACTACTGTCTTGTAACATACCAACTATAATATTATAAATGTTAAAAGCAAAATAAAAATAACACTGAAATAAAATGACTGAGCACAATGTTGAAAATTAATAATGAAAATAAATGTTATAACAATTAAAGTGATAAATTGGTGCATCATAAACCTTTTTTTTCTCAATTTGGGCATGGTTGGAATCACACTCCATTTGGGTGTGCCCCGGTACTAAAAATGCATGTTCTAATATTACTATTATATCTAATATTATTATTACATTTTCTCGTATAATTTCCTACTAACTGGATTAATGAGATTTTTTGAATACATTTCATAGCATTTATTTAAAGTAAAATGATAAGGCAAGTATAACTTTGACGATTCTTTTCTGCAGTAATGACTTTCATACACAGGTAGATCCTTAAGACTTCTTTTTACTAACTTGATGTCTTCTGATGTTTTTTTATTTGGGGGTGGGTGACAACCTCTTTTGTCTGGAGTAGTTTTGTTTAAACCAGTTATCATTTTTTGTTGGCAGATTGTCCAAATAAACTTCAAATTTTCTCCAAATATTTTTAAAAAAACAAGCTTTACATACTTTAATTAATTTATCACTAAATGGTATTTGATAATTGTAAGTTATTGACCTTTTTTTTGTTTTTCTGGAGTATATCTTCTCTTTCTCTCAGTTTTTTTTGGTTGAAAAATAATAAGTCCAGATTCATATGAAGATCTTCTATTTTGATCTTGCATTTGCCAATATTTGGTGAACACACTTTGGATAATTCTTGGCTAATTTTTTCTGCACATTCTAAACGAATATTACCCAATTCTACTATTTTTCTTTCAGGTACTTCTTTCCAATTTCTGTGACATATGACTTCCGGACTTCCCTGAATTACACTTTTATTTTCTCTCAGCTCTAATTAATCTTGATTTAGATTTGGTTAGATTTTCAATATTTTCAACATTAGCTTCAACTACCTATGTCATGTTCTCTTGGTAATGTAGTAGTTTCTGGACACTCGGTATCGAGATTACAATCTAAGTTCAAATCAGGTTCATCATGTTTAGGTGGAGTATAGGAATAGGTTAGATCAAGATCTAAATCATCAACATCATTCTATAACACACAGTAAAAAATAATAAATTGGTATTAATTTTAGTTATAAGTATGAATATTGTGTAGGCACTCTAAATTAAAAATAAATTGAACCTATAGTGTTATTTGATGAGGATAACAATTAAGAATGAATACCTTAGACTTTAGTTTTAATAACTATAAATATAATAATTAGGTATACATAATTAGGCGCATCAATGTTAATTTTTTCATAATAATTTAAAAACTTCAAGATTTTTTTAGGTTTCATAATATCATTATTTTTATTTTACTATAACTAATAATAAATAGCCAAAACTTTTTTTGTATTTTTATGGAAAATAAATTTTTATTTAACTGTATTTTGAATGCTTAACACATAAATTCAATACAATTATTTTAGATTATATTCTTAGATAGTATTGTTATTTGTTATACCTATATTAAAATATTCAATCATAGCATTAGGTATCAAAAGTAAAATAACTAATTGTAGGAAAACTAAAAATATTTTACCTCTGAACTGAATTGTACAATAATATGGTGTTCTACTAACACTGGTGCATGGACTTTTAGTATATATGGCTCTTCCAATGGGGTAGTGATTCCAATTGATTCAACCATTTTTCACATTCTATTATATATTTTTTCATTTTGAAAGATTCAGCTTTTTCATGTGTTTTTAGATTGCCTTTCGGCAATATCAAACCATGGTCTTTTTAATGGAAATCAATGTCGTCAAACTTGTCTTAGTTACTCAAAATCAAAAAATTCATTACTTTGTGTACCCTCAAATTGTCAAATTGTTTATTTAAATTTTAATGAGAAAAACATGTCAAAATTAGTATTGGATGGATTTATTAATTGGAAAAAGTGTCAGAAAGAATACCAGAACATAATAATTCTAATATCCATAAAAAAAGCTTTTGTTCGTGGAAAAGGCTTGAAATGTATATTTGTGAAGGTAAAGGTGGAATTGATACCTAAAGAGTGGCAAATTGCAATAAAATTATAAGAAAATCATTAGAGATTAGTTTTAAAAGTAATAATTAACATAATTATGCATCTAGCAATGGAGAACACTGTTTTTAATGGGACTGACAAATTTGTTTCTTGTATAATTAAATCTAATCGTAGTAGAAAAATTTTAAATTTAGTACATTTAATATCTCATTACAACAAGCCACTAAGAATTCATCAAATTCAAAATTAACTTTTATAAATTATTACAAGACAAGATAGATCCAAAATTAAATTTGCTTTTTTAATTTCCTGAAATGTTTTTAAAAATGGAATTGTCTGCTTTTTTTTACGGATCTCTTCCTTTTTGGAGAGTTTCATTTTAGTAATGTAAATGAAAAAAGATACTGCTTATTACTTATTAGGTACATAAATAATACTTCAAGTTTAGTGGAGATAAAAAATTGTGAAAGACTAACTGATATGTTGGTATGATAACTAATAAGTACTGAAATCGATTTCTTACTAATTTGACTATAGGTACAAAATAATGTGCTGTTTTTAACGGAATCTTATCTATTTAAAATTAAAATATATGTTTATATAATTATAAAATTTGATTTAAAATTATTGTAACAAGTTTGATACTTTTGGCTCGTCTAAAGTATTTCCGCTGAAAAAAAAAAATTTACCAACTTTAACCATAAATTTTGGTGCGTGATCTGTAAATCTTTGACGCCACGAACGTCATAATATTCTCTGTATTGTTTTAGTTAATAAAAAAAAAGGTGCTCTGCTGTACAGTAGGTTACAAATGGGTCACTGTATAATGGATGGTATTAAATTTGAATTCAATGATATAATATCATTGTATAAGAAAAACGATTCTGAGCGGAGACGCCGAGACGGTATGTCAGTCTAGATATAAGAGTATAAGACATATTATAATATACTTATCTATGGTGTTAAAAAAAAATTGACCTATAATAGGTACCTACCTATAATAAATTCCAAATTAATCATATCACAATATGTCAATATTCATTAGGTAGGTACTTACTTTTAAATGTTGATTTTCTAAAAAATAATATGACAGGTTTCAGTCGAATAGTCGAATGGGAAGACTGAATTTTATTATTAATTCACGTACATTTTACCGCCAAAAATGATGATAACAACTAAACGATGTTAGAAACGATTTATGACTACATGTATAAACACAATTTACACCCCCACGGAAGATAATACAATTTATATTGGTTTTAAATCAAATCGTTAACTAATGTCCTCATATGGGGCTATATACCCGAAAAGTTTCACCAAAAACCAAAATCGATTTTTTCGAAAACATATTTTGTGTAAAAATTCCCGTTTTTCCTAAATTTTTCTTACTTTTGACCCCCCCCCCCCCCCACCCCCGAAAGTAAAAATAGTAAAAATAGACCTATAATGAATTCTAAATTAATCATATCACAATATCCATTAAGTACTTATAACGCGTTATACACCAACAACAAACCCTGATACTATCATAGATATATAGTAGTATAGGTACTTTAGAAGTTTCAAGTACCCACGAATAATATTACACAATCACAACAAAAAACCTAAAATAGTTATTCTAGGTTTTTTATTATGTAATTTCGTCCAAATTTGAATTTAAAATGTCTGTAAAAAATAACTGTGTTCATATATTTTTTAGATTTTTTGGTTACAGTATGAACTATTTATGATAACCTTCGTTTTAAATTTGCAATCCTTAGCTATAAAAACTGAACATTTTATAATTTATTAATTACAACGATTGATAATTTTCGAGATTTTGATAAATTTTGTCAAAATTCGATCTTTAAATGTTATAAAAAAAAATTGTGCCTATATGTATTTTAGATTCTGAGTGGAACGATGAATGTACCTATATTGATTTTACAATGATGTGTGTTTTTTATTTTTTATTTTTTTTGTGTCTGTGTACAAGATAAGTAGTCGAAATAATGCTTCGATTTTCGACTTCAGTATCTTGTTC